CTTTTGTATCTCAGTCTATATCTACATTTGTTTTCAGTTGGGAAATGGCTTGAACTACTATTATGTTATAATCAACATTGGATGATCATGATTAAAGCTGTAATTCTTTGTAGTTAGCTTTCCAGAAAAGTCAAGAATCTCCAACAATATTAAGAGGTAGAGGTCCTGTCCATGCCTAATAACCTTCCTACTGCAGATTACAACTCCCAACCAGCGTATCCAATGCAGACTGCATGAGTGTACTGTTGGCTATAATCTACTATAGACCGAGAAACATGATTGGCACTCAGTCTACAATGATTTACAGCTGCAAGTATGTTCAAGCATCTCTAGATAGAAATTTTAGGTAGTGAGGTTATTTATCTATGAAATGCAGTCCACACTGCTGAGTGTAAGTTTGCCCTCTTGCAAAAAACAAAGACAATTCTATCTCATATGGAAAAAAGTACTGATACCTCAATCAGCCCACAGAATTGAAAAGGTATATTCTTTCATTAACACAGTTACATATGAGAGCACCAGATTTAAAAAAAAAAAAAAAGTGCTTACATCTCCTATCTGTTGAACCCCCACCTTTAACAAAACATTTAAAATTTACAAACAATATGGGCTGACTGAGGTATCAGCTCTATTGTCACATATGTGGTTTGGCTTTCTTCATTTACTGCTGTAACATTAAGTAATATGTGTAATAAGATAAAAAGTTGCTTCTCTCATTCCTGAATTTACAGTGGGAAGAATTGTGAGCAGTTCTAACTGCGAGGTACTAGTCACACTTTATGTATATTACAAATAAGTAGAACAAACATAAAACCTACAAAATGGAAGTTTTGGGGTTACTGTTTTTGATATATCAAATATTGTTGCATAATAACAATAGGTTGCCAATGAAATGCTCGTTATTTAGTTAATAAAGATGCAATTAAGCAGAAAATTAGTGCTCAAAATGGATAATGACAGAAACAAATGCACTTACTGCGATCTGTGATTACAACCCGGGCCTCTGGATTGCTTGTTTTGTTTTTCAGGTTTTGTGCTGCAGTGATAAGTTCCTCCAGATGAGGGCGCCTTTTTTCTAAATCCTGTAGGGTTATCTAATATGTTGATAAACAAGACAAAAAATTGATAGTTAATAACACATGACTATATTGTACTACAACCAAGAGATTAAAAACAATAGTTCTTCAGTGAGGAAGTTAGAGTTATGTCTCTGCATCATAAATTAAAGAACCAATTTTATTGGGTAATCTGCTCCATTTAGTGGCATTTTCCATTTAGTGGCATTTTCCATTTATTTATATTATCTTGAATAGCATGTGTTTCTGGTTCTCATGAAATAGTAACATCTGGCCAAACTAACAAGGTTATTCATGAAAGTGTTAATTGTTGGGATTTTAAAACGAATTTCAAAATGGAAGTTAAAATTGCTGAAATGGAAAATAGCTGTAAATTGCCTATTAGATCAGTTTGGCTATTTTGGCCTACAACTTGAATCTGATGTGACTTCAAGGAAATCTGGAATTTATGCTTTTATTCTGAATAATTATAAACGTGTCAGTGAGACATACAACAATGGAGGACCCCCACCTCCTACCATTTGTTCTCGAGTGCCCCCACATCCAACACCCTCAATCTAACCCCCCACAACTCAGGCATTGTCCCTGCTCCCCTTAAGCATACTACTGTCGTACCCATTCTAAAAAAGCCATCCCTAGACCCGTCTTCCACTTCGAACTATCATCCCATATCCCTGCTTCCTTTTTCCTCAAAGCTGCTAGAAAGACTTGTCTTTACTTGTATGACTCGCTTCCTAAATTCCAACTCCCTCCTCGATCCTCTTCAATCTGGCTTTCGCCACCTGCACTCTACTGAGACTGCTCTTATTAAAGTAAGAAATGCCACTACTCTATACTAATTCTTATTGACCTCTCTGCTGCCTTTGACACTGTTGATCATGGCCTCCTTCTCCTAACATTTCAATCTCTTGGTCTCTGTGACACAGCCCTCTAATGGTTCTAGTTCAATCTCTCCCAACAGTCCTTTAGTGTCTCTTTTTCCAACACCACCTCTCCTCATCCTGTCTCAGTCGGAGTCCCTCAAGGTTTAGTTCTTTGTCCCCTTTTGTTCTCTCTCTATACTTCCTCTCTTGGCAAACTCATTAATTCATTTGGATTTCACTACAACCTGAACGCTGAACAAGAAGCTTGTTCACTCTCTAGTAATCTCTCACATGGATTACTGTAATTCTCTCCTAATTGGTCGCCCCAGAAGCCGTACCCCCCCCTACAATCTGTGGTAAATGCTGCTGCCAGGCTGATCTTTCTCTCCTGTCGCTCCTCTCACACCTCACCCCTCTTTCAATCCTTACTCTGGCTTTCTGTCCCCTACAGGTGTCAATTTAAAATACTAAGCCTTACCTATAAAGCTCTTACCAACTCTAGCCCATCTTATATTTCTTCACCGATTAATAGGTATTCCCCATCTCGGTCTCTCCACTCTACTGGCAACCTTCTCCTGTCTGCTGCTTGCACCCTTACTGCAAATTCACGCCTGCAAGACTTCTCACGGGCAGCTCCTTTCCTTTGGAACAGCCTGCCTACCCCTGTCAGACTCTCCCCTAGTCTTCAATCCTTTAAAAGGTCCCTCAAAACCCATCTTTTCTGGAATGCTTACGGCCTCCAATAGTAACTTCTATCTCTCAAACCTTCCTCTCAAACTCTCCTATAGGGCCACCCTCCACTCTCACCTCCAGTTCTGCTACTTCCCCACCATGTCTATTTGCTGTCTATCTCAATACCCTTCCTATTTTTTTATACCCCACCTCCTCTAGACTGTAAGCTCGTTTGAGCAGGGTCCTCAACTACCTATTGTTCCTGTTACATTTTGTTATTGTCTCATTTGGTAAATTCCTCTTTTATTGCAGAATAAGCTGGCGCTATATAAATACAAATAATAATAACAAAGTTACAATAATTAACAAACGATCTGTTTTAACTAATAACACACACATTATTATATTTCTCTTGAACATGTTGAATATATCATTCAAATATTCACAGTATAGGTTGGAAAAAGTATGTGAAATCCTAGGCTAACAAGAGTTTGAAATTGGCAAACATTTTGTGTTTGCTATTCACAAAAAGCATCTGATGATGTGAACCATGCCTCACAAAAAAGAGCTCTCAGATGACCTGCAATCAAGAACTATTGTGTTGCATAAAGCTGGATAGAGTCACAAAGTTATCATAAAGAGCTTAGATATGTATCTGACCACTTGAAAACATCATTTCAACAGTTAGGTATGGTGATTTGTGAATGCTTTGCTGCTTTGGGGCCTGGACCACTTGCCATTATCAAGCTAACAATGAATTCCCATGTGTATCAAGATCTCCTACAGGATAATATTAGAGTGGCTGTGCACCAGCTGAAGCTCAGTAGAAGTTGGGTGATGCAACAGGATAATGCAGCAGGACACCAAAGTAAATTCACTATAGAATGGCTTCAAAAACAGAACATCTGCCTTTTGCAGTGGCCCATTCAGAGCCCAGACTTTAACCACACAGAGATACTGTGGAATGACCTCCAGAGAGCAGCTCACACCAGACATTCTAAAAGTACAGTATGGCTGAGCTGAAGCAGTTCTGTAAGGAAGAGGGGTCAAAAATTCTTCCTGAATGTTATGCAAACCTATTCCGCAGCTACCAGAAATGCTTTGTTGAAGTTATTGCCTCCAAAGAAAGATCAACAAGCTATTAAATCCAAGTGTTCGCTTACTTTGTCCACAGCACTGTCAATTTTAAATGGGCTGTGTTCAATAAAGATATGAAAAATTATATGTATTTGTGTGTTGTTAACTTAAATACATTGTGTTTGTCTATACTTGTGACTTTGATGAAGCTGAGATGATTTTTTGTATGACCAAGTCCAAAGGGATGCACATACTTTTTGCCACGATATATATATATATATATTAGCAATATGGTGACCACACGAGGCATAGATCAGTTAGCAGATCTTTAAATTGCACAGAATACTTATTTGCATAACAGATGATGTTTGGAAAAAAGTTAGCATCTACAATACACACATAATAAATCTCTACGCCGAGCAGTTTGCAGAATATTGATCAATGTTTTAATAAACCATACGTTTGGGTGCAAACCAAACTGAGGACATTACAAATGCAGAGTGAAAACACCAACTGCAGAATGTACTAGCATACTCCTTTTCAGTTCAATGCCAACACTGGAAAAACATCATATTTCTTTTGAAATCCCAGCTGCCAAACTATTATCTTTTAACCCATTAAGGACACAGCTTCATAAGCTTGTCTTACGCTTAAGGACACAAGTCATTTTTGCATTTTTTGCTGTTCAAATGCAATTTGCATCTCTGTCATTTATTGCACCAACATATATTATATATCGTTTTTTAGAGGGCAAACAGGGCTTTAATTTGATGTCACATATACATAGATACATTCTCATTAATTATACAAAAATGCCAAAAAGAACAGTTTTGGTAATAATAGCGTGTGCATAATATGTCCAGCTTAGAAAAAGTCATTCTAAATAAATTCATTTATGTGTCTTGATTTATAGAGTACATCATATGTATAAGATTTCCACTTATTTTGAAAGTTACAGGTGACAAAACACAAGGACTAAAATAAAATTTCAATTTGCAACAATTTTAGAAGTTGATATGTTTGTCTTGTAGGTTAAGTAGCCATCACAGAAAAAAATTGCCACCAAAAAAGTATATATTTATATAAAGTAGACATCACAGGCTATTTACCTAAGGTTAGTTTGGCACTTTTTTATGTAGCCATTTCACTGCCAATCTCTGCTAAATATTGGAGTAAAATTAATAACTGATTTTATATACTAATATCTCTGCTGGGAAAATATATATAATTAATTATATAGATCCAAATAGATCACATCCACGGCAACACCCTGATCTATACTTCTACTTACTTCTTCGTAGAACGCAATCAAGTTAGTTTGACATGACCTGTGCCTTATAAAACCATGCTGATTTTTGCTGAAGAACATGGTTATCAGCAAAAATCAGCATGGTTTTATGAAGCACAGGTCATGTCAAACTAACTTGATTGCGTTCTACGAAGAAGTAAGTAGAAGTATAGATTAGGGTGTTGCCGTGGATGTGATCTATTTGGATTTTGCCAAGGCATTTGATACAGTTCCACACAATAAATTAGTGTTCAAACTCAAGGAAATCGGTCTAGATGGAAATGCTTGTTCTTGGGTAGAACATTGGCTTAAAAACAGAGTACAAAGAGTTGTCATTAATGGTAAATTTTCAAGCTGGACAGAGGTGGCAAGTGGTGTCCCTCAGGGGTCTGTTCTGGGACCCCTTCTATTTAACATGTTTATAAATGATCTTGAAGACCGCATTGAAAGTCATGTTTCAGTGTTTGCAGATGACACAAAACTTTGTAAAACAATACAATGTGAGCAAGATATTACTTTGCTGCAGAGGGATTTAGATAGACTGGGGGACTGGGCACTCAAATGGCAGATGAAATTTAATGTTGAAAAATGCAAAGTTATGCACTTCGGCGTAAAGAATACACAAGCAACGTATACCCTTAATGGAAGCGAATTAGGGATGACAACACATGAAAAGGACTTGGGAATTGTTATAGACAACAAACTATGCAACAATGTGCAATGTCAATCAGCAGTGGCCAAGGCCAGTAAGGTATTGTCATGCATGAAAAAAGGCATTCATTCTTGGGACAAGAATATAATTTTGCCTCTTTATAAATCACTGGTAAGACCCCATATTGAATATGCTGTGCAATTTTGGGCACCTGTTCTAAAGAAGGATATTATGGCACTAGAAAAAGTGCAGAGGCGGGCTACAAAATTAATAAAAGGAATGGAACATATCGGCTATGAAGAAAGGTTAACAAATTTAAACCTATTTAGTTTAGAAAAACGTCGCCTGAGAGGGGATATGATAACATTATACAAATATATTCGGGGCCAATACAAACCATTGTGTGGAAATCTATTCACAAACCGGACTTTACATAGGACACGAGGCCATGCGTTTAGACTGGAAGAAAGAAGATTTCGTCTAAGGCAAAGGAAAGGTTTTTTTACTGTAAGAACAATCAGGATGTGGAATTCTCTGCCTGAAGAAGTGGTTTTATCAGAGTCCATACAGATGTTCAAACGGCTACTAGATGCATACTTGCAAGAACAGAATATTCAAGGATATAATCTTTCAATGTAGGGTAATAACTGCTTGATCCAAGGATAAATCTGACTGCCATTCTGGGGTCAAGAAGGAATTTTTTTCCTAGCTTGTTGCAAAATTGTGCTTCAAACTGTTTTTTTTTTGCCTTCTTTTGGATCAACAGCAAAAACAAATGTGAGGTAGGCTGAACTTGATGGACGCAAGTCTCTTTTCAGCTATGTAACTATGAAACTATGTAATTATATATGTATTATTATGTATTAATAATACAAAAAATATTATCAACCAGTTGAAAACTAACAGGGAAATTGTATAGTTTGATATGTTTTACAAATTTATTTTTGAATGTCATATCTTATTTAGGATTTTAAAGGATTAGTAGCTTTGTGTAGCAACTGATTTTATTCTCTTCAGAAGCTGTCTTTGTCACAAAACACAGAAGGATCTCAACAATTGATAGGTGGGATGTTAATTGGGAGCTCAGGAGGAGTCATGGTTTAATTCACTAAACAGCAAATTGAAGTTATTTGAAAAAGAAATTGGAAATTATAAACAAAAATTGCTGATTTTATAAAATTTTATAAAATTTTCCAGCTTGGCTATCAATTTGTTGCCTACATTTTGCAATCTAGTTTTCAATGCACTTAAGGTTGCTGTTTAGTTACTAAACCACTTAGTAATAGAAAACTAGTAAGTAAGTCATATTCTGTATTAAGTTACAGCGCAGTATATAAAGGCAGATATATAGGGGGAGGCAAGGTCTCTATTGATAAAACAGAAATTACACATTTGGGTCATTATGTGTGAGGCTCAGATATTAAAGAGTGGCAGGGGTTTTGCTCCAGTAGGGACGTCCAGTAGGGACGTCCAGTAGGGACGTGAGACATTGCAGTATTTTATTTAATGAATGACATTGCTACATAATTGATCTGATTTACCAGATGCAAATTGCTAATCATGTGCATACATGTCTGTGATGCTTAATTTGGCAGAAATATGGCTTTTTCAGTCAAATTCAAGGCATTTATGCCCATTGCATATTTGTAGGACAGAATTAGGTAACATTCATAAAGTAGGCTTCCCTCAGGTCATTTTTTACACTTAGGGAGTCATACAACTTGATGCAGTAAAAACGCATAGATAATTTTCCAACATTCAATAGTTTACTTGGGAAATCTAATGCCTAATTCACTTTCTGCTATCTCGGTTGCTGAGAGCAAAAATGGATTTATGGGCAATAAAGTCTTAAAAATAATATTGTCTATCATGTAGGCAATATTCATACACAGGAGAAAAAAAAATGTGAATGTATCAACGTGTTGTCCTTTAAGGGGAAAAGCAGCTATATATTCCGCCTTGATTACTTTGTTCCTTAAAACATCATAGTATTGATAGTGATATATTTAGCTACCTTCAGGTGACCTCCTAGATAAGGAGAAAAACCTCAGGGGATAAAAGACTGATATGTGTAGGCAGCCTTAACCTTCGAAAAAAAATCTACAATAGTCGAAGACAATTTAAAGCATGCTTAGCACATTGCCCTTTATGACTCAAAATAAATGATGACTTTGGATCCCAGGTCACACATCTAACAAATCTCTTGGCTTGGAGCTCAGCCAGTGACTCATGTAGTCTATCAATTGTCCTCACAGGAGATATAATTTGTATTCCACAGAGGTTCCATCCTCAAATAAACAAGATCAGTACAAGCTGAAACTCCCTGTATATTAATGTAATTAACTGCAGGTGTTGCTATTAAATTAGCAAGTTCCCTTATTCACCCAAATGCAGTGGTCTGGAGATCATCCAAACAGAGTAGATCACATCATGCAGCAGAAGTTATATTTGACCAAAAAAAATCTGTACAAATTACAAGGGCCTGACAAACTGCGTTTTATTGATAAACTGAGAGGTAACTTCTGTTAATACTTTAAATAATAAATACAGGTTAGCTCTACAGATCTTCTATAGCAAATAGATAGATAGATAGATAGATAGACAGACAGACAGACAGGTAGATATATGTCCTGGAGATATATAAAAAAAAAATCTAGAATTTGTGTTGTTCCAGAATGTGGTCTGCAACAATATTTAGGTAGGTGAAATGTGTCAAAGTAATATCCACATGAATGCCAGGACCCAAGGTTTCCCAGGAGAATATTGCCCAGATCACTGCCTCTGCAGGCCTAAATTCTTTCCATAGTGCATCCTGCTGCCATCTCGTCACCAGGTAAAGGATGTATACACACCTGGCCATTCACATGATGTAAAAGAAAACATTAATCTGACCAGGTAACCTTTTTCCATGCAGTCTGCGGCTACACAGACTCATATGCAGCAAAATGTGACGCACTATGTGTGTTCTGACACATTTCTATCATGGCCAGCATTAGGTTTTTCAGCAATTTGGGCCACACTAGCTCTTCTATGTGATCAGACTAGATGGGCAAGCCTAAGCTTCCCACATGCATCATTAAGCCTTTGGGCACCTGAAACCCTGATGCTGGTTCACCGGTTGTCCTTCCTTGCACCACTTTTGGTAGGTGCAAACCACTATATACTGGGAACAACTCACAAGACTTGCTGTTTTGGAGATCATCTTACCCAGTCATTTCCCATCACTATTTAGCCCTCGTCAAAGTCACTCACATCTTTTCACTTGTCCATTTTTTTCTGCTTCCAACACGTGAAATTCAATAAATGACTGTTCACTTGCTGCGTAATATATCCCACCCCCTGACAGGTGCAATTGTAATGATATAATCATTGTTATTATCTTTACCTGCCAGTGGTTTTAATGTTGTGGAACTGATCAGTATATATCTCAAGTTATCAAGAGTGATTATTATGTAAATTTGTACAGAAAAAAGAAAATGATCTACATTTAAGTAACAATACAACCAAAACAGTCTTAAACTTGATTATTTTTTTGTAAGTACACATTGCAATTTTAATGCATATTGGACATAATATATAAATACCTGTTTAACAATTGCAGTGGACTTTATTGACTAAATGCCAACCACAGACAAATTACACTTGGTTGTTTGAATTAGGCTTTTCCAACCTAGCATATGCTATATGAAACACATTTGGCTATTCATAATATGCTATTTTATTTTATTTCCAGTATATGTTTGTCTATTAGGTTGCCTTTTTTTTTTTTTCTGTCGATCAGTTGTGCATTATGATTTTTAGCTGGTACAGAGGAATCAAATTCCTTTTAACCCCTGAGCCAAATGTACACGTTGTGAACAAAACAAAACGTAAACAAAACCTGGCATTTGCGCTATATGTCTGTCCAATTCACCTCTTTCATATTAAATGCACACACCCTTATTATATATAATTTTATTCAGGGGGAAACAGGGCTTTCATTTCATATCAAATATTTAGCTATGAAACATAATTTATTATGAAAAAATGGGAGAAAATAAGAAATTATGTTATTTTTTTAGTTCTACATGACATTTTAACTGTCAGTGTCATAATACTGTTTGCTTTTAATGCAATAAAGTACACATATTTGTATTCAGCAAAGTCTCACGTGTAAAACAGTATCCCCTATGTACAGGTTTTATGGTGTTTTGGGAAGTTACAGGGTAAAATATAGCACGTTACATTTGAAATTGAAATTTGCCAGATTGGTTTTGTTGCCTTTGAGACTGTATAGTAGCCCAGGAATTAAATTTACACCCATAATGGCATTCCATTTGCAATAGTAGACAACCCAAGGTATTGCAAATTGGGTATGTCCAGTCTTTTTTAGTAGCCATTTGGTCACAAACACTGGCCAAAGTTAGCGTTAGCATTTGTTTGTGTGTGAAAAATGCAAAAAACGCAAATTGTGGCCAGTGTTTGTGACTAAGTGGCTACTAAAA